TCAATATTTATTCAGATTTCCTTAGTTTCCACCTTTGTCCTTTCCTTGTTCCAAGATCCCATCCATGATATCGCTTCAAATCTCACTGTCACATCTCCTTAGGCTCCTCTTGGATGAGACAATTACTCAGATTTCTCTTGTGTTTTGATGACATTCCCAATTTTGATTAAGTACTATTCAGTATTCCATGAACTATCCTTTAATTGGGAATTATCTGATGTTTTTATGATGATTAGACTAGAGTAATAAGGAGAAGCAAGAGAAGACCATGTGTCATTAACAGTACTTGTCACCAACATGACTTATCACTGCTAATGTTGACCCTGGCCACCTGGTTGAGGTGGAGTTTGTCATAGTTCTCCAGTGTGAAGTCACTCGTTCCTCCTCTTTTCCTACACTTTGAAGGAAGGCATCACGTGCAGTTCACACATCAGTGCAAAGCCATCTATCCTGGGTTTCTTCTGCACATGGGACTTGTTTCCTCTCTTCACGTATTCAATCGCTCGCAGCAGTCTGGATTCATGGATAGTCATGTTATACTTCGGTTTATAACACAATACTCTACTGCTTAAATGGTGCTGGTTCTGGCCACTAGAATGCCCCTCATTTGGCTCCCTCTGACGTATCCTCAATTACACACATGTCCTTATTTTCTGGCACTCCAAGATACTCCAGGCATATCTTGTCTATTCCCTGAGCAACCCTACAGTCAACCATTCTTCAAATGATCCTCATTTTTGGGGTTTTGATTGGATAATTGTAATCTCAGCCCTGAGTGTTCTTCTAAAAGTACCTGGTATGTTCTCATTTGCAGGCCTTCTCAGCTGACAGAATTAGGAAATACATATATGTTTACTCACCTGTATATGCTATTAAGCTAAGTTAAGCTAAATATGAATTCGTGCTGGTATCTCCACATTTAATCCATTGCCATATGTATTATTTATTCTAGCCATAATTGATCCTTTCTATTAAATGGTATTTCATATTAACAATTATAGGTATTTCATGCTAGGCACAGTACCAAGTTCTTTAAAGATTACCTAACTTAATCCTTAACACACTTTAAAGAGAAGCACGATTAGCCACACTTAAACAGATGAAGAAATCAAGTACTGAATGATGAAGAACCTTACCTAAACCCACTTTATAAGGCTCCACTTCCACTCCGAGAGAACCACTATGGCTTACATTCAGCAAAGACTGAGCACACATTGAGTTCCGAACAATAGAAGATGCAGATGCAGATGCATTTCTCAACTCTCAACAGGTGATGTTCTGCTCAAGCCTCACTTTGTCCATACTCCTCCCCACCTCCAGCCCTACCCGAGTCCTCTCCTCATCCAACTTAACTGTAGGACAAATTGCCCAGTCACACTGCGACTTGACAGCTCCAGGGAAGGGTGCTGAGTCAATGGCAAAGATCAGCGCCTCCTGACCCTATAACCTTTCAACCTCTGGCTAACCCATGCTATGCATTATCTGGGGTTTTGGTAATTTGGCAGTAATTAACTATAAACAAGCAGTTCTTCTTTCATGGATTTAAAAAAGGAAAAGCATTTTTCTCTTGTTAATTAAATCATCTACAAAGATGATAAATGTGCAGCCCACACTTCTATCTTCTAAAATATCAAAGGCTTGATTAGTATGTCTTATGGTGAACCCCAGGCATTTTCTCCAGATTCCTGGAAGTAACAGGAGCCAGTGGGTAGGGAGCTGCTAAGTATTTACCAACACTCAATGGCTTGCTCATTTGTTTACCCGTGGTTCATTCATTCTTTTCAGGTGACCTAGAAAGAGGTCTTAACTCCCTGAGTTGGAAACATCCAAAGTGAGGAGACAGGAAGAAAGCGAGTCCTTCAGATCATGTTGAGAACCACTCTTCGAAAAAGCCACAGCCCCTTTGGTCCCTGGGTTCTGTTTGGTGAATTTCTCCTGACAGTTGGTGGTTTTATTTGCCAGAACCACAACAAAGGGAGTCCTTGAGCTTCCCTGGAAGTGTTCCTGCAGACCTGCACCTCTCCTGGACATCACAAAGGTGTTATTGTGGCAGGCTCACGGGGCTCCCAGCACCTGAGGGAGATCAAAGGCACGTTCCGCTGCCAGTGAGACCACAGTCTCGCCCTCACCACACAACATGAAAGCTGATGATTAATCCCCTTGGCCCCAGAGACTCTCCCCACTCCCAAGTACAAAGTGGGGTGGGGGTGGGACATTATTTCCAGCACAACATGACCACAATAAACTGGCATTTTATGGCCCTCGTTTACTGCAACCAACTGTAGCTGCCTGTCAAACTCCTGCAAGCCCCAACAGTTGCATCATGGGAACCGTTTACATCACTAGGAACGTTTAATAAAAATCCCCACCATTTCTGAGCATCTGCTGGGTGCCAGGTACACACATCCATAATGTGTGCTACCCAACAACTCTGTGAGACTGGCTCATTACCCCCAGTGCGAGGGATGAATAATCGGGGGCTTGGAGAACTTAGGTGGCTCACTTCAGGTCATAAGGCCAAAGAGCGAGGGGGCAGCCGTCGCCATCTGCATCTGTGTGACTCAGAAGCCCATGCCCATTGTAATCAGGTACGGCACAGTGAGACTAGATGCAGCCGGAATGTTGGAGAGAGCCACAGCTAGATTGCAGTCCTCGGTCCCAGAACGTGAAACCTGTCTGAGCCTGGGAATATGACTGGACTTTTCATTGCCTTAGTTCCCTACTTTATAAAATAGATATGCTGGAAAAGGTGGTATCATCCTCACGGAGGAGAAGTGGGGATCACCAAGACATATTCCTTCAGATTCGCCTCTACTTGGTGAATTCACAAATGAGGGTCAGCAGAATCCATCACCTGTGATGCTGGCACTCATTCAATACTCAGCGGCTCTTTTTTTTTTTAATATATATATATATATATATATATATTGAAAGTCAGAGCTGCAGAGAGAGAGAGAGAGAGAGAGAGAGAGAGGAGACAGATAGATTGTCCATCTGCTGGTTTACTCCTCAAATGGCTACACTAGCCAGAGTTGGCCCAGGCTGAAGCCACGAGCCAGGAGCTTCTTTCAGGTCTCCCATGTGGGTGCAGGGACTGAAGCACTTGGGCCATTCTCTGCTGCTTTCCCAGGCTCATTAGCAGGGGGCTGGATAGGAAGTGGAGAAGCTGGAACTTGGATTGGTGCCCATAGCGGATGCTGGCGCTGCAGACAGTGGCTTACCCTGCTGCACCACAGCACCGGCCCCTCAGCTACTCTTCTTGGCCAGGTACTTGGGCCCCTGCCACCCAGTGGATGGAACATCTCTCTCTATCACACTGCCTTTCAAATAAATACAAGAAACATTTTTTTGCTTGTTTTTAAAGAAAGAAATCTCAATTGAGTGTGGTGAAAAATTCCTGATATCAAACTTCACGGGAGAAGCTAGATTAGATGTGTCCTTGTGAAGATAGGAAGTGATTTAAGTAGGTTTAAATCAGTGTTCGGTGAAGACAAGTGAGTGAGGATGGGCCATGCCAGGGGAAATGCAGGCTGGCTGGCTGATCAGCACTTCACACGTATAGGGCCTTCAGTGACAGCTAAGCTGTCCCACAGGGCTACTGAAGGGGAAGAAATATGACGGGGTTGTTAGGTTTAGTTAAAGAAGTTCCATTTAAGACTTTGACCAGAGCCGGGAGAGACAAATAAAAGAAAACGCTTTTTCTCAAAAGTCTGGCACAAATATCACATTAGGAAGATTTCTCTAACCCTGGACACATCCAGGCAGAGTTCGCCATGGTCTCTTTCCCATGCAATGACCCCTGGTCATCAAGAGCTCATCATAGTACCTCATGCGCTTCCCACATGTGAGGCACTTTCTATGACCTCGCCTAGTCTTCCCAACACTATGAGTCAGGGTCTATAACTTTCCACACTTGGCCCAGGGAGCTTCTGCACCTTGCCCCAAGGCCCATGCTTAGGAAGTGGAGGAAGTGGGACTGGAGGGCATCTCTATGAGATGAACTGCCAGGTGTGAGCCGGGTGTTCAGTGTCACAAGTACAACCTGAATCTATACTTGGGGACCGCATATAGTACTGTAGTACTTGTTATAACTCTGTCTCTTCCATAGAAGGTCTGATAGCATCCGTCTGTCCCCAAGGTTTAGCACAGCTTGGAAACAGGAGCAGAGAAATGAGCCAATGTACCCAAATTTACACAAATCAAGATGACATTAAAAAAGGCTCAGTGGTCCCTGTAGTCTAATAGCTTCACACTGCCTATGAGCTTCCCCCCAGTTGCAGCGATTCTGCCCATGCTAATCTCTACTCATCTTCCTGCTCCCTCTCCCACACCCGCTCCGTGTTGCTCATTTGGGAAAAATCCAAGGAGTCGTCCATCTAAGTGGAATCGAGTAATGACTTTTAAATAAAAATATGGTAGAAATGGGTACTTATCGAAATGGAATGCTTTCAGACTCATGCATTTAAAGAAGATATAAATTTCAGGGCAGGCACTAAATTTTAACTGCAATCTTGGAGAAAGCCTTCCCACTAATTCATGGAGAAGAATTAACAGAGTGAAAATTGCTTATCAGTGTTCTTTTGAAGTCATGATATGCAGCCTGATTCTATAGATCATCAGGACACTCTCCAGGAGATGGATTTATATTGATTGAGGGAGAACTCACGGCCAAGGAAAACAGACAGGCCTTGCCAGAGAAGACACGGCTTCCCATCAGGCGCGGGTCAGTCTTGGGGAGTGAGATTTTGCCATCTTTGGCCCAGCTTCACCCCTCCTGCCTGGGCTCTCTGGCCAGCATGACGTCAGAGGCCGACTTGATTTTTTTCAGACTGTAAGAATCGGGCCCCTGGATGCAGGGCTGTTGGAGGGAATGCTGAACTCTGGCTGGAAGGGAAAGAGGGAAGAAGAGGAGGGCAAGAAGGAGCCAGCAGCTCAAGTTCTCCCATGGGTTTGCCTCCCACTACGTGCAGTGGCCCTGCCTGTGTGCCCGGTTGACTCACCCCCATGTGACAAGAAGACGTTCCACAGATGATGGCCAGCCGTGACGTCACTGGCTGTCCCTCACAGGCGAGGCCATGACCCTTCACATCTGCTCCAATCACTCCTGCGAGAAAGCAGAGCAAAACAAAATTCCTCAAAAAAAAAAAAATTGGAGGAAAAGTTAAAAACAAACACACCACTTTTTCAAAAAACCAAAAAAACATGGAGGATGAGCCCCATGAGTAGGCCTGTCTCAAATAGAAACCAAAAGAGCACAGCTGCCTGCGTGGGAAGATTTGGGAACCTGTTCTCTTTGGCTTTACTTGGGCCCATGTACAGCACTCAGTGATGGAATGGTGGTACCAACTGTCATTGTCATAATAAAAGCAGTCGCCATCAGTCATTCAGTGCCCGGCTAGTACCAGGCACTATGCTGTACATTTATACATGTGGTCTCATCAGACATGGGCGGTGTCATGTGGGCGCCATTAATGGCAGAAACACCAGAGGAGAAACTGAGGTTTGCAGAGGCTGACTTGCCCAAGGTCACAGCCATCACACCTCCATTTTAGTGCAGGCAAAAGCACAGGAATTGTTTGATAACTGAATGTTTTCAGCCTCTCTACATTGCCATTCTTACTGCTACGTGTTGCCAAAACCCAAGTGTGAAGGAGAGGATGACAGAGAATAACACCCCATTCAAAGAATGATATGGAACAGAGGGCTGGCCATAGATGGGAGGCATTCAGGCTAACCTTCCCCACATAGCCTGTATTCCGTGATACCCATGAGAGCCTGGAATTGTCTTCTACTTATTCAAATACCCCACAAGCACCTTCGAGGCACACAGTATGACACTAGATGTCCATAAACATGCAGAGATATACAACTAGAGTGCACAGAGAGGTGGAAGGTGCTCAGGGCAGGCCAGAGAGACTGGGGTGCAGGAGAGAAGGCTGCATCACGCTGACCTCACCCATTTCAATGCAGTGCCACCCTCCTTGCACTCTCCTGTCCTTGGTGCTCTTACCCACCTCAACACTTTTTTTTTTTTTTTTTTTTGACAGGCAGAGTGGATAGTGAGAGAGAGAGACAGAGAGAAAGGTCTTCCTTTGCCGTTGGTTCACTTTCCAGTGGTCGCCACGGCTGGTGTGCTGCGGACAGCGCACAGCGCCAATCCGAAGGCAGGAGCCAGGTGCTTCTCCTGGTCTCCCATGGGGTGCAGGGCCCAAGCACTTGGGCCATCCTCCACTGCACTCCCTGGCCACAGCAGAGAGCTGGCCTAGAAGAAGGGCAACCTGGACAGAATCCGGTGCCCCGACCGGGACTAGAACCCAGTGTGCTGGCGCCACTAGGTGGAGGATTAGCCTATTGAGCCGCGGCGCTGGCCCACCTCAACACTTTTGCACTTGGGTCTTCTCTCTGCCTGGAATCCATTCTCCATTCTGCCAGGCTAACATCTGACTATTTTTTTTTTCCTCAGATGTGACTTAGGGATTCCTGGATCCTTGAGGGAAGATGGGATCTTCCTGCTAAATGTTCTCATGCACCACTGGACGTCCAAGTACAAAATGTCACTGGTAGTTTTAAAAGGTCATATCCTCCCTGCTCCTTGTCTACAGTGAAAGCCACAGGAAGCTGGCACTGCCCTACCCACATGCTTAGCAATCCAGGAGCTACCACAGTTTCTAGCAGCTCAAGGCAGGAAGTGGGAGAGTCTGAATGCTTGGGGCTGCTAGAGAAAAGAAGGCTAGAGAAAGTCGCTGCTTTCAGGGCATACATGATCTGCTGGGAGGGACAGCGAACCCCAAAGGGAACAGGGGCCTCAGGGGCAGCTAACCTGAAGTAGAGTCTTTGGGAGGTTTCCCAAGGAATTTGGTCTGCACTGAATTCCAGAGGAGTGAGCAGGTAAAAGGCAGACTGGTGTGTCTCATCCAACCAAACATCTCAGAGCTTTCTAAAAAGTGGGATCTACAGGGAGCCACAGACAGGACTCTCACAATTCTCCAGGATTTTACAACAGCTTTCTAGGATTTTTCCATTGCCTTTTCCAAATTCTACCTTCTGCAGCACAGCGACTTGTGCACCTCTGCTATTGTTCAGAGGCCCAGCAGCAGGGGGAAGTACAGCTCTTCCAAACTTTCCCGGTGGTTATCACAGTAGTTAGAGCCCAGCCCCCAGGGAAGTGAGGTCTGGGACTTGTGCCTGTAAAATCCCTGGGCCTCTTTGTTTTCAGATCAAATCCCTTGCTCTGCTCAGTACTGTGGGGCTGCCCCTATAGACTACCATTCCCAGAACCCAAGATAGTGGAGGGCAGCTTTGCTGGGAGATTCTAGGGCTGGCAGGAAGGGGCAACCAGAGCACACCTCCTTTCCTCTGTCTGGGGCATTATCTCCAGCAGGGGCCGCTTCCCCTCCAGGATCTCTGCCCTACGCATAAGGCCGTTCTGGCTCCAGCAGCTACCAGTGTCTACTGCCTTGGTTTTCAGCAACACTAGCTCTTTCCTATGCCCCAAAGTCTTGGGGTGGAAGTAGCTTCCTTATGTTGATTTTTTTGCTTACTTTGCAGTGAATCTGGCCCTTCTAAGCTTCCTAATTATTGGGGTCACCATTTTTTCCATATTAAATTCCCAATTTTTAGAATGGTTTATGTTTTACTGAATGGGCCCAGAATAATAAAACTTCCCATTCAGGGCACAAAGGTTTGTGGACAGGAAGAACTCCCAGATTTGAGCATATGGTAACAGAGTTGTTGTAGGCTTTCTCCCTGAGACACGTCCCATCTTATTCTCACAACAGTCTGATGTGACGGTGCTATTATTACCCTCGTTGTACAGATAAGGAAACGGAAGCTTAGAACTAGAAATGCAAAGTCACTTAGCCACGGCTGCACAGCTCACAGTGAGATCCACATTTGAGTAATCAGACTCCAAAATGCTGTTTCTTAATCACCAGGACTCACTGATTTTTCTCCATTGTACTTCTTTGTAACTCTCAAGATACTGAGGTCTTGAAGATCCTGACCCTGAGATCCTTGACAGAAAAGGGGCTGACTACTGCTGGCCCACGGAGTTGTAAGTTCAAGGAAATCCTGGGAATGACACATAGGAATATAGAAAGCACAGGCCAAATTGATATCACAGGCTCATTTAACCCTGCAAATTGGGGAAAGGTAATTTGTGGGACATGTTTCTTTGTTTCTGATCATGTTAGCAGATTCATTGTTGTTACTTCTTGGCTGAGACATATCTCAGATATATCCAAGAAGTAGTGTGCTATAAATAAGAAAATAATGGAATTTGGAGATAGTAGGATCTGCTATAAAATGGCAACACTAAGATTAAACGGATGCTCAGATAGCAAGGAAATGTTTAGAATTACAGGTTTGATTAGTGATAGCCACATCACCGTCACCACAACCACCATCCCCTTTCTACCATTACCATCATCTGAACAATTTCTCAAAGAGTCAATTGTATTCTTTCCTCCTAGCAAACCTATCAGACATACAAGAGAGGCTGAGTACTGTGCTAAGCTTTTTAAATAGTCTTCCATTTAATCTTCATAACAGCTATAAAAAGCTATATTCTTTCTTCCCTTCAATGGACATAAAAGCAAAGAATAAGAATGTTCAAGTTACTTGCCCAAAGTTACACAAATATAAGAAGCAGCATCAGGATTTCATTTTGCTCTGACTCCACATCCCATATTCATTCTGCTGTCCTCACTTTATCATGCTAAAATGGTCTTATACATAGAAATATATTTGGAAGTGTTAGTTTACCATGAAACATGGTAAGAATCACAGGATAAGCATCAGAAAACCTTGGTTTTAGCTCCTTTTTGGCTACAAATTCTCTAAGAGTGAACCTGTTCCCTCATTTACACAGTGAGAGACATAGGTCACAAATGGAGGTCCTGTCTCGGCTCTCTCAGGATTTAACAGACACAGTGCTGTTTCCGACATACAAGGCAAAGTGCCTCCTTGCCTGGACACAAGTCCCTACCATGTTCTACATTCTCAAGTGCTTAGGAGATGTAGAAAGCCACTAGTCATGCTTAAACAGCACCAGCCAGAGGCAGGTCTTGCCCAATCTTCCTATATACTTGCCTAACGTCCACCCCTGATTCCACAGCAGTGCATGGCTGAGGCCCTCTGGGAGGCCACAGGAGCGTGAGCTGACACATCCCATTTTCCCCTTGGCCACACAGAGCTTGAAGGGGCTATCCTTGAGAAAGCTGGCCAAAACACAAGCAGGAAAAAGCAAAAAAAAAAAAAAAATGTGGGAGGAGCTTTCTCCTTTCTGAATAAACACATTTCACAATCCATGGAGGAATCATAAGCTACACATGCACATCAGGAAACAATTCACAAGAGGAGATTTTGACAAGTGCATCCTTCAGCATTGCTGTGGGCCATCATGAAACTGTACAACTGTCAGTCTAATGGTTAAGGGGCAAAATTAACAGCCGAAGAAGCAGGCATCAGGAAAAAAAAGTGACGTATTCAGCTGTTTTCCATGAAACTTGTGCAATGTCCAGTTGAGAATAGTTGCTCAATAAATTTTTGTTGAATGAAAAAAAGAGAGTAAGCAGCAGAAAACAAGATTACTGACTCAATGAATAAATTCAGGGGCTCTGGTTCAATGAATATCACCCTTCAACATGCACAGATAAGTCAAAGAAAGCAGTATATTTAGAAACATAATTAAAAAGACTTGCAACTTCATGAACAGCTCTTTTATTTAGTCTTATGTGCTGTCTCCCTCCCTCTCTCCCACCCAGTGAACCATACATCCTTCCATCCAAACATTTACTGAGTACCAACTATATTTCTATAAAAGAAAAAATGAGACTTTGCAAATGTTATTATTAAGAGTACGTTATCCTATAATTTATTAAACCACAGCTTCTTTGAAAACTTTAAAGGGTTATATAGAGAAAAACATCCCAAGTTCTAGCATTTGTGTTATAATTATCTCTACTTTATAGCTATATGAAAGTACTTTACAGCTTTCAAAGCATCCTCAAACACTCTACCCTTCATTTAGGCTTTAGAAAGTCATGGGGTAGGTGTATTTTATTTCCAGTTCACAGTTGGAGAAACTGAAATTTGAGGAGGTAA